TCCTCCTCCCCCCCAAACCCTACCTACTATAATAGGGTACGACACACACACACACACACACACACACACACACACACACACACACATTAATTTACATACAGTATATAAAAATGACTGGTAAGGATATAAAAATGCCTCTGAGTCCTGTACAATTGGACTAGTGACAACTAAGGCCTCTGACTACAAGTTGAGGGATAAGGGAAAAGCCCCAATAAACTTTTTAAAACTCGCTAGAACATTTGTGAAACAGATTTTCTACTACATACATGATAAATGTCTATCAGGGATGGTCTAGACAGTATTTGGTCCTGCCATGCGGGCAGGGGACTGGACTCGATGACCTCTCGAGGTCCCTTCCAGTCCTATAATCTATGAATCTATGAATCTATGAATATTACACACCAAAAACTACCTTATACAGAACATTATTAAGGTTGCAAAGTCAAGCACTCAGAAGCCTATGCAACCTTAATTTGCCCCCTGGTGGGTATACATTATGATACAGGCTGTAATTACATAATCACATGCTATATTTCCCACAGGACCCCGCCTTGTTCATTGCACTGGACGAACAGTGCTCTACACTGCAGCTGGGAGTGAGCCTCCCAGATGGGTAGACAGACCCATACAAAGCACAGCTCCCATTGATTTCAACTGCAGCTGTGAGTGCTCAGCACTTCTGCAAATCAGCCACCTGAATCTGAAGTCAGGCACCAGAAAATGAGGAGCACACAATTAATGTGAAAAGTTTGGTTGAAGTGACCCAACTAGCGTCCCATAGGAACTCTGTGGAAGAGGCAGGGATAGAATCCAGTTCTCCAGGGCAGCATTCAACTGACTGAATTTTGAGAACATCATCTCTCTTCTTACAATCCCCTGCCTCATTCAAATAAAAACATAAGAACGGCCATACTGGGTCAGACCAATGGTCCATCTGGTTCAATATCCTGTCTCTGACGGTGGCTAGTGCCAGATGCTTCTGGCAGTCAGAGGTTTAAGGACAGTGAGCGCATGGGGTTGCATCCCTGACCATCTTGGCTAATAACCATTGATGGTTATTGATGGTTAACGATTAATAACCTATCCTCCATGAACTTATGTAATTCTCTTTTGAACCCATTTTTGGCCTTCATGGCATCCCATGGCAATGAGTTCCACGGGTTGACTATACATTGAGTGAAGAAGTACTTCCTTTGTTTTAAACTTGCTGCCTATTAATTTCATCAGGTGTCCCCTGGTTTGTGTGTTATCTGAAGGGGGTAAATAAGATCTCTCTATTCACTTTATCCACACCATTCATGATTTTATAGGCCTCTATCAGCTCCCCACTTAGTCATCTCTTTTCTAAGTTGATCAGTCCCAGTCTTTTTAATCTCTCCTCATATAGAAACTGTGCCATACTCCTACTCGTTTTCTTTGCCCTTCTCTGCACCTTTTCCAATTCTAATATACCTTTTTTTGAGATGGGGCGACTAGAGCTACACTCAGTATTCAAGGCATGGGCATGCCATGGATTATATCATGTCATTATATTTTCTGTTTTATTTTATATCCCTTTCCTAATAGTGCCTAACATTCTGTCTGCTGCTGTACATGGAGCAGATGTTTTCAGAGAACAATCCACGATGACTCTCTTTTGAGTGGTAACAGCTAATTTATACTCCATTAGTTTATATGTTTAGTTCTGACTACTTTTTCCAATGTGTATGACTTTGCACTTATCAACATTGAATTTCATCTGCCATTTTGTCACCCAGTTTAGTGAGATTCCTTTGTGACTCTTTGCACCTTCACATCCTCATTAACAAGCCTGCTACATCCCCAAAGCAAGTCTATCCTGTACACCAGGGCTCGGCAACCTTTCAGAAGTGGTGTGCCGAGTCTTCATTTATTCACTCTAATTTAAGGTTTTGCATGCCAGTAATACATTTTAATGTTTTTAGAAGGCCTCTTTCTATAAGTCTATAATATATAACTAAACTATTGTTGTATGTAAAGTAAACAAGGTTTAAAAATGTTTAAGAAGCTTCATTTAAAATTAAATTAAAATGCAGATCTTATCAGTTTAGTGCAGTGGTTCGTAACCAGGGGTGCACGCACCCCCTGGGGGTGCGAGATGTCTTTTCTGGGGAGTGCGAGACACACGAGTTTTTTTTAGAAAGTAAATCATCGATAACACAAATTAGGCACAGGCACATAAGTACAACTACTTTGTTTAATCAAACCTATGTATTTATTAACATTATACATGTTTTAACGATTACTGTAATATACAAAGTTTTTAAGTTTTCAAGTTTTTAAGCTAATTGTAATGTAATTTTTGATAAGGGCTGCAGAGCGCTGGGCTGGCTGCCAGTACCCCAGGCTAGCAGGAGGGCTGAGCAGGGCCGGCGGCCTGGACCCCGGCTGGCAGGGGGCCGGGCGGCTGGAACCCCAGACCAGCAGCGAGGTGAGTGGGGCCGGCGGCTGGTATCCCAGGCTGGCAGCAGGCTGAGTGGGGCCGATGGCCGGGTCCCCAGGC